GTGGTTGTTGGTGCGGCGCGAAGCTAGGCGGATTACATCAGCATGGGCCTCGGCGATCTCATGAACGAAGGACGCACCTGGCACCGTCGCTTCCCCAGGACGGAAATCAGAAGTAGGATAGTCAGTGAAAGCGCCCGCGGGGACCGGGGCGCCTTGGCCGCTGGTGTCCATCGGCACATCGCCATCGCCGGAGGGCTGCTGGGCAATGGAAAGGTTGTCGAACATGTCGGAGATGGACGAAATGGTCGAGGGCGGCGCGGGTGCAACAGTTGTCGGGACGGCCGGCGGGCCCACATTCGCGTTCTGCTCGATCTCATCAGCAACTGGGACGTTGGAAAAAATATCGTGCTCGACGCACCTGGGCGCCGTTCAAGTCGGTGTTGGTGTTGGAGAAGTCCATGTCAAGATCGCTGTCGTGGATGGCAGTGGCAAGATGGATGGGGGCGGCGTGGATGGAGGGATGGATTCTATGGCCCGCGTTCGCGACGCTATATAGTGCCTTCTCAATGCACAGCAGGGGCGGACACGTGTCGTGTTCCACAAAGGGCTGTCGGAAGATCGACGGAGCGGGAGAAGATGGCGGGATGAGGAAGGAGCGCGCGCTGTCGACGTTATATAGCTACTTCGCAGAGTACGGCACAGTCGGACTCGTGTATGTAGGGGTTCTGTAGGGGGGCCATTGCCTCCTTTCAATATATTGCAAATTGCCTTCCTCAAAGGGATCGATAAGATGATCGGCCTTCCCGTTGAACCCCGCTGTGGTTCGGCTACGCCCGGCAGGCGGGGTTGGATGGGCGCCGTTGCAACATCTGGCTTCTGCGCATAGAACAGTGGATGATCAGCGGTCGTATGACAATCAATTCAAATGATGGTATATGAGGCGTGCCATCGATAAGACGGCTGCCCCGGTTTTCAGACGACCAACGGCAAAGCCAAGCGCTTCAAGACAATGTCAAGAGATCAATCGTGCATCCGTGGTATAGAGCCAGTCGGCTGCTCGACGTGTGACGCAATACATATTGCTTAAGGATCCCTCACGCCAAGGGCTAGGATAAAAGTTGCATATCCGCTTATCTGAAATCCGCCATCAACCACACATGTCTCTATGTTCGGAAGATGTTGGTGGGATGGCTCGTTCACGCCTAATTGCGTATTCCAAGCGGCGAATCGTCGGCTTAAAATTTTGCCCGCAGCAAAAGACGCTTCCCAGATAGCATTGCTTTTGCAAGTGAGTCAACGGCTATCGTCCATTTCGATAGATGTCGGGCAAGATCAAGAGCGCGTCGTGGCTTGATCGCGCCCCGCGAACAAGGCATGTGAGCGCGTTTTGTGCACTCGGCAAACGCCGCGCCATCGGACTGCACTTGGACTGCACTCAAATCTCACTCGACTTTCCCTGTGGTTCACCCAAATTACGATCATATTCGGCCATCGAATAGGGCCGGTATAGACGAAAACACCCCAGGCTCTAGACCACTGCAAGCGTAGCAGTCGCATCCTCTCAATCTGTAGGGACAGCGAGTCAAAGAAAGGCGCATCGCAACGACTCCTGTATATGTACGGAGCGAAGCGGCCTCAAGCGCAGCTTTGATGCGCACGAAAGGTGGATAAAAGAATCTGCAACTCATTCGAATTCATGATACACAGAATTGGGTTGTGCACGCCATCCCTACGCTCAGGAAGTCTTTACAAAGTGCGAACCTGAACGAAAGGCTCCTCCTCGTCCGTCTCTGGCGGGCCTGACCAGTTTCCGCTCTCATCCTTCCTCCATCCCGTATGAAGACAGCGTCCTCGGCCGTTGCTCAAACCCATGACTGCACACATCGGGCATGACTCCGGATCCGGGTCCTCTCCCTCAGGAATAGTGTAGTCATCGTTCGCCGCTGCACTGGGTGGGAAACTTGAAAACGAGTAGGAGAAGCCGCCATCTGGTTTGATGGAGATGGGAGACTTGTACGACATGCCGTCGAAGGTCCAACCGTCGGGCAGAGATTGAGTTGGCTCAGACGAGGATGCTTCTCCCGCCTCAGGAGTCGAGTGCGATGTCTCGCCGCTCGACGCGGACCGATCATGAGACGTCGAAGATTCCGCCGCCGGTGACTTGCGACCTGAATCTGCTGTCGCGCTCTTGGTTCACTTGTCGAACGAGGGAAATACTGCTCAGAAGCGCGCACCTTGACCTTGACTCTGGTCGTCAGAGTTCCCAAGGGATGAGAGCCACTTGCGTGCGGCGCGCTTCTGCTTCTCGCGAGCGGTCTCCTTCGCCTTCGCCTTTACCTTCAGCTCCTTCGCGCGAGCTTCAGCGTCGGCGCGAGCATTTGCCTCAGCCTTGACGCGTGCGCGCTTCTCCTCTGCCTGACGCCTCTCCTGCTCGAACATCCAATCCGCTGCGGCGCGAGCATTGGGGAAACTGAGCCCTGGTTCGATGCACTCTTGGTATGTGATCGAGTTACCGAACTCGTCTTCTTCTTCATCCTTAGCATCGCCACTGAAGCGCATGCCCGTAAGCTGAGAGAGGACTTCGGTGCGAGTTATGGTTCTGAAGGACATGGCTGTCGAGGACAAGAGAGCTGAGATTGGTTCCCAGAATAGGGGCTCATGTATGTACGCTAGGGGTCGCGTTATGTCACGCGTTTTGATTTGACTGTCACGCTCGCGTATCTAGTGCACCGTGCACGCCGCGCCGGATCTACAAACCTTGACCTGGTAGAGTCTGTTTGAGGCGCAGAGTCTGAGCTACCTCACACTCCGAACGTGAAAGAAGAAAACAAATATGTCTTGTACATCGCAGAAGACGAAGATACACGATGTACAAACAGCTCCAGAGCACAGAAACTACATGTTCTTCACCACAAGGATATGCGTGAAGCTCGGCACCCCCAAAAGATCAAAGACCAAAAGTGAAAGTAGGCGCTTCAGCACAGGGGGAGGCCATGAAGAGAGCCATCAGGATGCGAGATCGTGCATGCGCGGTAAGCGATGTGCCATCTAAACGACGATGCAACCACCGCCGTTTGAACTCTTGGTCGATTCGGCGTCAACGGGTGCGTCGATGACGGGCTTGTGCGCGACCGTGCAGCCTCCACCGTTAGAGCTCTTGGTGCTTTCGGCGTCGACCGGCGCATCCTCCGGGCGCGATACGTCCGCGGCCGGGGCGATGATGGAGAGGATGGTGGTGAAGGCGTCCATTGCAATTGAGAGTGAAGTAGTGCAAAGGGTAGATGAGAGTAGGTAGCGCTGTAGGTAGCTCAGATGCAGGAGCCTCTCTAGACCTGTAAAGCTGGCTTTTATACCTCTATGCTTAGATATAAGGAGTTTCATGACCGGCATGGAGAGGGCATGACATGAGGCAACCGAGTAGTGGATGCAAAGCTGGCCCCACGCCAGACAATAGTGCACGTACTTCGTATACTCCGTCTCTTTTGTGAGGATCTAGCAGCCGGATACTCTCCGTTCGCCGAAGTGTGGTTGAAGACGGGAGGAGAGTCGAGGTTGCGAGGCATGATGTCGGATCCTCGACAAACCCGATAAGTTTCAGACGAACAATGGGCGCATCCTGATTCCGCCCATCACGTCGCGCGTCCGCCCTAGCGACCTGTGTCGCGGCACGAGCGGATATACTTGAACTCGTGGACTTCTTCAGTCGTGCTGAACATCCCCTAGCAATGCAAGTTAGCTGACAGAGCTCCGAATCGGCTGCAGTCCAGAAGTATTGCCGCTACAGGGCACCTAAACGTGTGCATCATCTGCTGGTCAAGACGTGCACGGTTTACTGGCATAAGCACCACGGTACTCCCGATACACGTTGAGTATTATGCATGTAAAGGACCTCGAAATGGTAGAAGCGTATGCGACCGGCTGATGGCCGACATCGAAGTTCCAGTCCAAGATCTGTTGAAGTTGCCGCGGCGGCGCGCGGAACACGCCGCGCGTGAGAGCGTAACCCTAACCCTAAACCCACGGCATCATAAATGTCATAGGAACGCAGTAATTTTGATATTTGCAGCCGCTCGTAGAAGGGGAAATGCGTTACAACAAAGCTGGCAACATGTGAAAGCGACGACAACTAATTGAGAGAGTATGTTCAAAACAAATACGGTTCAGATGATGCGAAGGAACCGGTTAGATGGGGATGATTCGTAGGATCTTGCAATGTCCGTGACAAACCAGGCGTGGATGCAAGAATATCCTGGGGCGCCGACATGTCTTGCGGAGACATCATCCACCCCAGATCTGTCCCGAAGCTATCGAACATGGATACGCTTGGATCACCGCCGACCATGCGTAAGGGGTCGTCTGCCGACATGGGGGAAGGGTTCGCGCTATTTGGCCCAACCAGCGAGCCAAACGACGAGAAGTCGGGCGTAGGCGTCGCGTTCCAGAGATCCACGGGCATCATGAAGGGTTGATCGATATCCGCGCTGGAAGATGGTGTTGGGAGCTGACCAATGTTCGACGGCGGTTTGGGAGGAACGGGGATCGGCGGGCTGACAACGGGAGGCGGGCCTGCTTTCGACTGGACTGCAAGCGCTCTCGCCTTCGCCTGTTGCAGTAGACGCAGTAGGATGGGATGCATGTGAGCATAGGGGTCGATGCTCTGTGACCCGGAGTTGGAGTCCGACTTGGGGGTCAAGATCATCGGCGGGGAAGGCCAGGTAGAGAGCCCTGGTGGGCCAGCGGTTCGCTGCCATTCAAGATAGACCTGGGTAGACTTGGCGGCCAGGCTCTCTAACAGTTGCTATAGCTAGTTAGAACCGCCGGCATACTTCGACTCTGAAGCCTACTCACGATCTTGGCCGCTGCCTCCTGACCAACCACCTTCGCCTGCTGAAACAGCTTCACGCATTTATCAATCTGAGGACGAGAAAGCGTAGCAAGCGGATCTCCAGGTATTTTTGAGACGATGAAGCACAGCCCAGCCTTTGATCACGCCGTGAGCTACACATCTGGTCTAGTGTCAACCGTACCTACCGCAGCTGTAAAGGTCTGCGTCCACAAACAAGGGATTCTCCGGCAGGCCTCGGGATCCGAGCGCATGACAAGGGCCAGACAAGCGATGATCTGACATGCATTCTGGTACGTGGCGAGGACGGAACATATGTGCGGGTGCGTGTATGAGAACGTGTGCGGTTCGCTGATGGCCTGGATGAAGTATGACCGATGTAGCTGGGTCACTACTGCTTCATAGTTAGCAACACAATGAAGGTGGGAAGTAAGTGTACACACAGAAGTCCCGTTGTATACTGATGTATGCGCGTTGGCTGGTGAGCTCCATGGCTTGAGGGGAACCCGGTAGAGAAGGCATGCGAAGGAAGGAAGGTATAGGAAAATCGCGAATCGCGGCATCAAGCTTGACGACGCGTGTGTACGAGTATGTGTTCGTCGCCCTTATGATATTCAGGACCGGCGTTACGCAGCGGGTCACGTATTGCTGGCGCCATTCCAGCGCTTACGAGCAAGTTAGCAACTACCTCATCGGGAGGGAACGTAGAGCGTACACGTTGTGGAGCCGGCAGCGTTGGGTGCAACAGTACAGCGATTATCGGGACCTTCTAAGGGGAAAGAAGGCTCGTCACGTCGAGCTAAAGCCTACATGAGGGATGAGACTCGGCCTCATCGCAGCATCTGTTCACGTACAAGCATTGTATCTGAAGCCACGAGTTGCCAGAATATGACTCTTCTTCGTTGTCGCCGGACATTCAGACATAATCCGACGGCCTTATCGGCATCTATCCGGACTCAGACCGAGATCAAGACCGCCTGTGACCTTGAAGACGTACCCATATCAAGCTGCAAGTATGGTCAACGGCTCGACCAGAACATCAAGACACATCGTGTAGCCACCTCTTTACAGACACGCGCTGCCGCATTCAAGATCCCTCGGGCTGCGAGCATATTTGCTTCGTCGTCCCGAAAGATGAGCAAATAAGCTACCATGAAGAACTGAGAATGCGTCAGACTAGTCCTCCTGGGGTCGAAGAACAAGGACGGAGTTCACATACCAGCGCTGTCAGAAGACTGACGTCTGCATCCGGCGCACTCGACGTAAGGCATGCTGCGGCTCGGGCGAGTAGGTGGTAGGCACTAGCACTATCGGACACCACATCGTCGCGCGCTGATGCTTCCATGCCCATGGCCAGGACGGCAAAGACCACGGCAAGCTTGAAAGGGCAAGCAAGTACCGGCAGATTATCGTAGACGTCTTGCATCAGAGTGGAGAGATGCTCGTTATCCTGGGGTGAGAAGCCATTACTGTGCGGAAAGGGGAAACCGAGCGTAAGCGTGTAGACCGAACGGAGAGAGAATAGGGCGCTAACTACCACAGCGCTACCGACTTCGCCTGCTCACAGAGGAAGTTGGCATGTTCGCGAGAGGGTAGAGCCGCGCTCATCTGGCGCACGGCGTCGAGAGACTCCTCGCCGCCCAAAGCCACCCGGCCGCGACATCGAGAGACGATGTGAGCAATCTCGTTTGGCCGCGGCGCACACATCTGTTCCTGTAGAACGTCAGCACGCGCTCGGCGCTATAACTCCGAGTAAGGATAGACTAACGATGGATATCTCGTCCAAAAATAAGGGCTGTCACCAGCATCAGCACAGCGCGTACGCGGAAAGGCCCTGCCCTTACTGTGGCTGGTGCCGATCGATCTCGCTCTGCCGGCGGCGTCAGCAACGCGGAACGGGAGCCACCCGCGATCCCGAACGTTGTCTCGGCAGCAGGACGGTGACGCGAGCGGAGTCCGGCCCGCGACGGCGACGCGTCTTGAACTCGCATCTGCGGTTGCTGCTGGCCGCCACTAGCCTGCAGCGATATGTCCTGCACCTGTGAAGGCTTTGGTGCGCGTATGCTGATGAACAATCAATCATGAGCCACGAGGACGAGCGACGACCGCGTCTTTGCCTCACCGGCCAGGGGGTGGCACGCCTACGATAATTATGTTCAGGGACGGTCGACAAAGCAGTGCAGACACATACCACCGGGGCACGCTTCCGCGTATCCGCTCTTGATACATGCACTACACGGAAAGGTGTCATCGCACGGGAGATTTTGCCTTCAAGATAGTGTAAGACGGGGCGAGGGCCACAGCTTGGGATCGCGGCATACCTTCTACAATGCGCGCATGCCAACCGCAGAGGGCGCTTGCCCAGAGCCTTCTCACTCCGCGGGCGCTTGCTCGCGCCCGTGAGGGCATCAACGCCCGACGGGTTGTTATCTGCGCGAGGAGAGTCGACAAAGCGAGTCCGTTTGCGCGGACGGGATGTAGACGCCTGCGCGCTGGACATGATGGTGGAAGTGGTCAAAGACCGTTGACGTAGGCTTTTGCCTGCTTTTGCAGCTTCGCGTTCGTGAAGTATAGTCTAAGTGCATTCAATCAGATCGCCGCTATCGAGACTGAATTAGGACGCGAATGTGCAGCGTACCTGCTATATGCCCGCAGCAGATCCACGACTACGCTTGGATGTCGAGTTTCAAATGGGGACGTCGGGTATCACAGAGATGAACATGAGCGGTCGATGCAGTTTTATACTTGGACACGGAGGTTGGTACGTAGACCACGCGGTACTAACATGTCGGGATGAAAACGTGTTCCTGGCCATCAGTACTGCGTTAAAGGCTCCGAAAGTTGAGTCGGTCAGAACAAGTTGCAGGTGATTGCGTCGTCGACGATGGAAGTCTAACGGGAGGCTCGTCGGCTCATCAATATCCATATGGGGTTACAATTCTCGGGCTGGTAATTTGGTCCCTCCCGTCGGCCATCGTAGCAGCAGGCGGGAAAGCCTTGAAAAGCGTACGTGTCATGCCTTCGTATGTGCTTTCTGTCTTTACTGATAATACCCAAGCTGCGTACATGTGTGTGGCGACAACAACCAAAGTCACAACCCTCTTTACATGGCTTTTGACGTACGGGCTTAGCTGTCCGTCGTGATGTCGGCTCCGCTCTAGGATGAATGGGACCGAATTTGTCCCTGCACAACCCGATGTCCTCGGAAGGCATCTGGGAGTGATACTTAGTCACTAGCCCGAGGTAAGAATTGATCTATCTGGAGTACTGAGTGCACTTGGCGGTGGCACAGCAATCCAGGTAGAGAAGCCGAGGTATATGCGCCGTGTTCATGTAAGATCTATACGGGGATCGTCTATCGCGTTGTGCAGATGTAGCCGGCTACACGATTCTCTGAATCCCTTCTCAATCAGGGTACATCGCGGGCCGAACTCAGAAGTCGTACGAGAGTTATACTTACAACTCGTAGAAATCTGGCTACCGTCCAAGCACACAGTACACGATAACGCGTCCTAAGACGGCCACTTGGTTTCATACCATGTATCCGTGTCGTGACGGCGAACTCAGATACGCCATCTCGACTCTCCTCGAGATAGTGTGTGATTAAAACGCCCACGATCGCTGCGTGGTGGCCAGCCATCTGGAGGTACATTACGTCCTGCGGCCGACCATTCTCGTATGAAGAAGTGCAGACAGAACGAAGACTCAGAAACAGAACGACCGGCAGACTCTTGAAGCCAAAGCGGTTTCCGTCGTAAAGCCGTGAAGCGCCACATACGCCTCTGAGATACTCACCGGCGAACTCGAGCACACGTATATCCGCACAAGAGACGTCCTATGGAACCCATATGACCAGCCCAGAAGCTCACGCTCTGGACTCTTTGCTCACCCTCCGCGGACGTTGAGGGTAGGAGGGCCAGTCGCTTTCTGTGAGAAGGAGCAGAAGAACTACCACTGACGTGTACGGAAAGCGCCACAGTGGCCGAGAACAGATGCGAAGCGCCCACAGTACAGCAGAAGAACCCTGTATCCGATACGAAGCACACGCGGAGCGCGTGCTGCCTGAGCAAATCCAGTAGTGAGGAAGCCGTCGAAGGTAGTGTGCCGCCTCCATCCGCACTCGAGGAGATACTGATGGTTTTGAGCGACGACACACGTCGCATAATGACATGGTCAATGAGCAGCACCAAAGACATGCGTGCAATACAAGTTTCAACCCACGCGTAGATCAAGTCAATTGACTAGTGTGGACGATGCAATACGGTGCTCGCCCACCGGACCGTTTCGATAGTATTGGTCCGGCTCCGTATGCATGTGCTGTAGAGTTAGCCACCAGCGCTCGATCCTGCATCGGTATCCATGGTCGGAAGGCGCCTCTTCGCTTTGACCGCGATAAGTAGAAGCGTCTCATCGCACGTAGCCGAACACCGAAGCGCGCACAACATGAGGATCGACGATACGGAGTTTGATTGCGCGAGCATGGATATTGTGGTGTGACAGTAAAACATCTAGAACGTGCGCGTCGAGCCAGTGTGCCTAAGGAAAGTGGTGAACCTTTAAACAATAGATACGCTCCTGTGCATACACGACGTTAAGCGCGCTGTAAGGATGGCAGTAAAGTCTGGATTACGTACCGTCTACATCCAGAGATATCGCATCCCCCTACAGCTTGCTCTTCTCAGCGCCCTCAGCCTTCGCCGCGCGCTCCATCATCTGCCCAACCTCCGCGGCCGCCTCCGCAAGACACTGCTTCAACTTCGCAGTCTCGAGCTTCAGACTCGTGATCGTCCACCGAATATAATCGTCGCCGATCGCGTAGGCCAATCCATAACCGTCTGGGACCACTGCACGCAAAAGAAAAGCACGTTAGAATCCGTAGTGCACGAAGTTCGAGCTAGATGCACGAGGAAGAAAGGAAGGAGGGGGGACGAGGAAATGACGAGGCGGGAGAAGCTGAGAAGCAGACGAGGAGCGGTGAACTCAGGCTTCCCGCCTG